ATGCGGCAGAGTGCTTGTACTCCATTTTGAACTCACTGTGATGTACTGTATCGCTGTTGCTGTTCGCCATATTTGGAAATATCACTTGCCAACAGTCTATGGCAAAATGACAATGTCGCTGAACTTAACACCCATTGCTATTTCAAACTAGCATGCACGTAGGGAACGAGTCATCAAATGTTCGAGAGACATAACTATACACAGCAAAAAGGTGATCTTCGCCCTCCACCGGTACGTTCAGATTTCTTAGGGGTAGTTTTAATTTAATCCATGTTTTGATGAATGTAGTTTAGAATTTACCTGTGTCCTTTGTCATCACGAAAACACGTCAACGAACATCGTATGCTCTGAGTAAGATTTTCTCGGTTCCTGGTGTAGTTGCAATACTTAAATCGTTTTCCTTCTCTTGGCGGTCGCATCCAGAGCTCGCTTATAGATGACACGGGATGTTGTTTTATATTTTCTGGATTGTGTGGGTGTGATCCTGCCAAATACCAGTGATCGTGTATGGTGTAGGATGCATACTTTGTGGCAAGTTGTTGGCATTTTATATCAAATGTACATGGCTCTGACCTGAAAATTTCGTCATCGTCTGTTAGCTATCTGAAACCTGCAACAATTTAGTCTAGTGTGGTGGTTATTGCGTAGTCCTGTCACATCCTACGAAGCGAACATGTACAAACAAGATGGATAGAAAGGATTGGTATCGTATAGTTTGTATACCAGGAGAGAGGTAGAGTACCGTTAACGTACCAGAAATTATGAGTGGTGTCTCAGCAACCGCATTTTGTTATCGATCTGGATGCAGACTGGCGTACATTCAAATAGACCGTTTCTTGGGGGAGGTATTTCATTCAGGGAAAATCTATCAGATGCGTAGCACACGATTCGAATGAATTGTAAATACTGATTACAAGATGCGTAGTTTGGCGACCCGTGGTTATTATGTGTCCTATTATTCGTAGCAGTATTGTGAACAGAAATTCGCGTAATTTATGTTTACCTGAACAAACTTTAGGAGGCGGGGCGTACTCTGAACTTCCCGCACGAATATATACTCGCTTTTAGCTTTGTTTTTGAAAATCGCTCACCTTGGAATCTTTATCCCTATCTATTTGACACAATCCCGACAATAACAGAATTACATCGGTCAAGGCAGACAGTGATCGCGAAGCGCTACTCACGGATGCCGCCGAGAAGCTGGGGGAGATCCGAAACATAATGGCGAGTGGGCTGCTGAAAGAACTGGACTCGGCCGGTGCACGGGAGCTGTACTCAAAACAATACAGCCCAGGACTACAGGAGTACGTGGAAGCTGCCTCAATGTACTATTACCTTAAGGCAGGTGGGGATATGGTTGGACATATCTTGTGGGTTGTGATAGGGTTGGCATGTATTCAATAAGCACAGCAACCAGCCTCGGGACATAAAGGATGTCTCGAGCGCGACATACTAAATAACTGTGTGTCTTCCTATTTCTGAGGACTCGACGCACAATCATTAGTATGCAGTCTACGCTATATTGTTCGTGAGATGTTGCTCCATAGTTTGTTACTATAGTCTTTAAGATTGTTTGAGTAAGCCCTCGAGATCACAATGTCCAACTGCTTCAGCAGATTCATTTGGCAGATGCGAAATGGTGTATTGGATGTGATCAACAATGTACAGGATAATTTTATGTGGCCAGGAAGTGTTTGGAAGTGCCAGTAATACTGACCTTATATCTGGCAGTTTCCTGTGAAATGGCAGCACGCTATCAATTTTAAAGTCTTGATCGTCTGCTCTTATGTGGACTGAGCCTCACATCTGATTAGTAGTCAGTCTCATTTGTAAATGGGACTGGTACATTATATTGCTTGTAGCGTTAATCGAGGGCTATTTATATCGCGATAAAACTCTCACCATGTTGTCAGAATATAAGTTTTGTGTTGGTATAATCATCTGTCTACGTTTGAAGCCTTCTCATTGCTACATGGTATTCTATATGACCATTTAGGGACGTTCTGTTTCATTTTAAATATGGTGTATGATTACTACAACCGCAGAAGCTCGAGCAACGAAATCACATACTGACTCACCTTACACCCCATTTCTCTCATAATCAGGATGCGAATCTTGTAGCTTTAGAAGTTTTACAAGCAGAGTTGGTTTTTGAAGTCGATTTGGAGCCAAAAGTAGACACTGCCCCTGCTACGCCCAACGCCCTCACAACCTGCATACCTCTGGTGAGTCTATGCTCCCTGGGATGATGTTTGAGTGTTGAAAATCGTATGCGATCGCCCAAGGTCATAGGATTTAGAAGAGTCGATTGTGGTTTCTTTTTTCACAGTTCGTGAAACAAGTGGATTTGTTTACGCCTCTGTAGTGTGTGTAATAGTGATAATATTAGAGTGTCCCACATTACCACTCTGCTGACATACTCCTGCGTTGTATAGTCACTCGCATGACTATGCGCTCCCATCGTCTGCACAAAGTTACATTTCACCATAGCCACACCCTATTGATGTCATCAACTGTGGCGTTTCCGTTATATCTGATTCAATGCAGATCAAGATCTATAAATGAAAGCTCCATCAACGCTTTTCAAAATTATGCAAGTTAGTACTCACACATTGAAATCCCTACACTGATAGATTTGAATTGGATTAATCACTTGATGCTGTATAAGTATGCATAAGTGTACAGATATATATATATATATGTGTGTGTGTGTATGTATGTATGTATGTATGTATGTATATATATATATATATATATGTGTGTGTGTGTGTGTGTATGTATATTA